GCAGCACAGTCGACGATCCCCTCGCGTGCCGCTGCCACCGCCGGAGAGAGTATTGTTTAAAAATCTATTACAGAACGCTAATGCCATTAAGCTACTTTAATATGTTACATAAGCTCTCGGAGGGCTCCTTCTTTTTTTAATTGTTTCCATTATAGGACATAAAATATTAACCTTTTCGGTTTCGCCGTGCGACGGAGACCTGCTACGCTGCAGCACGATGTATATATATAAATCGCATACGCTTTTATTATTATATATATTATATTATGTACCTGCTACACATCCGCGAGCAAGTTCATGATATTTATATACCTATGTATAATATATGGGTGTTCATACCTATTATGTGTGTATTATACATACCTATAATATAATGTACGGTATATAGTCTTATTATAGACATATCTGTTCCATCATATAATAATTGAAGCACCTGCGTAATTTTTTCTATTTTTTTTTGTCTTGACAACAAAAACTACAATATATTATTAAGGCATGTATACGCTCGGTCGATTGATGAAGAAAACATACTCGTGTTTTGAAAAAATATGTCATATATTATGGTCATATTATGGAACCTGCTGTTTTAATCAAACGACCGCGTTATAAATTATAATATATGCATTACACGGGCTAGACTTGGGAGTTTTCCCTTGCAGGACATTACATATTATATATATATAAACTAAAACTATAGTTTATACGATATTATATATTATTTAACGCTATACAAAGAAAAACGGGAAAACTCCACGACCCGCTCCCATCTGCAGTATAACCTCTGTATATTTGTCGCGTGTTATTATTTTTATATACAATGGGTCGATGCGTTTTTTCACATTTTATCAATACAGCATCAATATTGTTATTATATATTCATGATACGCATAATATATGTTACATTATGTTTTTGTCATTTTACAGGCCATCATTTACGAGGGTCAAGACAAGAATCCAGAGATGTGCCGGGTGTTGCTCACGCACGAAGTCATGTGCAGGTAACGCATTATCATCAATAAATTCAATACTTAATACATTTACCTGTACAATGTATATGCTACTTCACCATAACTATGCGCACATATTATTATTATTATTATTATGGTAGTATAACGGCCGACCCCATTTTAACGGTACCAAAGACTGCGTGGTTCGGTTTAGGTTAGCAATAATAACCATATAGTCGTAATAATAATAATAATATATTGATGATGAATCGGTTATACCGGTCAAATATTATGGCCGCTGACACGCTCCTCCCCGATACAACGATGACATTCCTCAAATCTCTTAGGTGTATAATGTTTGCTCACACACACACACACACAACTCTTGGGGGAAAGTTTGCCGAGTCATGCACGTGGTTCAATGCTGTTTTGTATGTAGGTACGCGCGTACATAACAACGTAAACAAAATCGTCAATAGCTGACTTCGCGCGAGGGGTTGTGCGCGTATTTATAAGTCTGAAGGGGGCCAAAACCCCGGGGGACAGGTGCGGGCATAATAATAGTTCGTTCTACGAACATGTCCTGTATGTTTAAGGTATATAATATGTATATAATATATATACATATTTTATAAATATTCAAATCCTTTTTGGTATTTATTTCGTATTATTATAATACCTATATAATGTCGTTTTCAGTCGATGCTGTGATAAGAAAAGTTGCGGAAATAGAAACGAAACACCATCCGACCCGGTCATCATCGACAGGTAAGATTGATGATAATTATTATATGATTTACATACCAACATAATATGGCTTTCTAAAGTTTATGTATCTACCTAAAATAGTTTAGTTTCGAGTTAACCACATAGTGCGCGTGCATTATACATAATATACAGATGTTTTCGACGTTCCTATAGGAATATATATAAWACATTACAATAGATGATGTAGGTACAACCAACAGATAGTAATAATAATATTATTATGTTTTTTCGGCTATTTATACTTCCGACCGTCGGGTGACGTGATGTGTTTGGCATAAAAAAAAATAGAAAGACTAATGCTCTCTCACCCTCTTTATTTTCGGTCGACTTTAGCACTTAGGAAAAAAAATCGTTGGTTTCTGTTATGCTTTTTCCCCCAATACTTTTATAACGGAATGGTTTAAATACCACAAAGAGATCCGCACACTAATAAGCCGTCCCAGCGGGTGGGGTGCTTTGAACAAACTTCTGCTCTTTCGCCTTTTATCTAACGTTGTCCTCCCCCAGAACCAATTAAAACACCACAAGCGCCCGGTATTTTTGTTTTATGTAATCGGTAGAACGACAGAAAAAAGCAAATATTTTACAATATCCCGCTATAAAAACATAATTAGTGATTGAGACATCAAAGAGCGTCTCCAGATTGTTTGGGAGAATTAAATTACATGGCAAAAAAAAAATCCTGGGTAATTACTAAAATGACTGAGACTAAAGTGAAAAGGTATTTTATTTACGATATACTATTCATTATCGAGATTAAAATGTTCCCGCAATCAAAATATAACCAAACAATTAAGTATACTTTATAAATTAAAGACATAATTTGCAGCTTTTCGTGGTTAAAACTTAATGGGTTATAGCTGGATGTCACTAACTATATATTATTACGCTATAAACTTAAAACAAATAAACAATTACGTACATAAGAACTTAACTACTTTTGAGGCTGTAATAGGATTAAACAGTATCAAACGATATAAATAAATATTTTACATTTCTTGTGTGAACGCATAATTCATAGTCGGMTGACAAACAATAAATWAGGGGAAACACATTAATCTACCTATCATCGAACATACTATGTACCTAGTTTCGCATGTATATTAAGAATTCATACGAAAATATTATGGTCATCTTTTCTACTCATCGGTGCACTGTAACGGTTGTGTTACAATCTTCAATACAAAGTGTTCGACTTTTATTTTTACCGYAATAGAAAATTCATATACCTACCTATATAAAAATTTTATTTCCTAGAACACACCTACCATATATGYATTTCAGATTTATACATATATGGTATTATATACATCCAAAATTCACTCGATTTTAGTAATAGAAGTGCGCAATACTACATGATTACTCCCATTATTTATATTATATGTATATAATATTACATTATATGTATGCACTTAAAAATGCCACAGTTCGTTACCAATTCAATAATAAAATTGAATCTTATTTGTATAGTATGTTACTAGTATTAAATTTTGTAAAGTCAAGTAAATAAACGCACKTAAAATATAAATATATAACTTATAACTGCAGTTTTATTCAAAATAATAATCAAATAAATTCAATAAATGTTTAATTGAATGTTTAAATATCTTTTATTTTGTTATTAAGAAAATTACAAAACAATAAAATATACAACTTTCCTTGTTTACAACAAATATTTTTATTAAATGACATAAWAMAAATCAACACGACAAACATGTATAATATAAAGACTGATATATTGTCGCTTTCGTATTTATGTGAATCAGCAGATATATTTTCTAATGATCTAATACATATATTTATATACCTAATAAGTAGACAACTAATGACGATGAGTGTTTCGAACGCGTCAGTCAATTTATTAGTCTATTGTGCATTCATAATAATTAAGTGTACTTTATCAATGACATCTTTWTAATATTTTGCATATGTGTACCGTTACAATACTAGAAACTTKGTTGGCACTTCATGGTAGTGGCTGCAAGGGATAGGAAGGGAGTACACTACGAGTGTTACCATATGGCAATAGTAAATATAGTTTTCATATTATATTGTAATATAATATACAGWATGCGAAAAAAATTGACGAAATCATATTTTATGCGGAATGTGCCCGAACAGCTTTGCAATCATCAAAATGCGAATGTACATACTATAGGCAAATGAGTACAATGAAAATTTGCACCATATTATTAACATGATCGATCCTATTTGAGTCTTTCATTTACAAACTGCTCTGCCCTTCATCCAAATAATCGAATCTAACTCTCGCCATTTTCAACAGCATTATACAAAATTAGGAATAAAGCCTGCAAAACACGCGTATATTGCATGTTATTATCGTAACAGGTGATAAAAAAGGAAAGTAAAACCTTTTATCGAAATTGAGTGTTACACGTGAGTAGTATAATATATTTTGTTAAAATTACGGGTGTTCCGTTTGCTATATAGTTTTCAAAACGATTCGAAATTATATAATAGTATTATATAATACTATAATCATAAACCACATAATGTATAAAATAATATTCAAGTAATTACAAATATTCTCGGCATTATAGCAATTACCAAATTTCTTAACATTATTTCTCATAAAATGAGAGATATTTTAGAATTATGGATATGTGAGTATAATGTATACCAAAATAAATTTACCAATAAGCGCACTCGAATATCGACACGTGATGAACAATAAAAATACCACACCAATATTATACGTATAACTACTAAAATAWAACTCACATTGGCTATATAGAATATATTTCATCTCAACTTATGTAATGTTATACATCTGCAGTAAAACAATGTTAACACTTGAACATTACATTATGTACTGATCGTATAAAAAACGTGTATACCACCACCACATGTGTATAATTATTAATTAGAAACGGGCAATTCTTGAACTATATTCGAACCCTCGAACTGTTCAAATTCGAAAAGAATGTTGTTTGATTCGCATACAGTTCAAATTTTTTTCTTACTATGTTTAAACCCTATATTTTACTACTGTTTATTAAATTTTTTAAATTTGTTATAACCAAAACATTGAAAGTTCGACTAAGTTCGAAAGTTCAATATAAAATTCAAGWACTAGAAAACTTAGATTTGACTTGGGTCTAATGATAACGTATATTGCGCGCGCAAATTTTTCGGCCATTTTCAGAAAAGCGCAATACGTACACAGATAATTGAATAAAAGAAGTTTTGATTGAAAATATAGTTCAATTAATTTGTTGTCTTTTTTTTTCGATGTAAAACAAAGTACGACGAGAATGAGAAAACCAACTGTACACGTCTCGTATATTATATTTGTATGTGATTTATAGCACGGTGATGTAAAACGGCAGACTGCAGCAGATTCCGGCCCGAAATGCTTAGTAACAATACTTGCGGCGGCGGATACGCGTATTCAGCGTAGGGCATTATTATTATTATTATTATCATCATCATCGTGGGCTGTATTTTTTGCTTTGGGTTTTTTATTTTCGTCATTCTTTTTTTCCGTTTATTTCCTATAACGGCGCGCAACGGAAGATCCGAATCGGATGATACTATATACAATATATACTGTATAACGTATACTATAATAATACTATACATCGTTCCGACCGACCACCCCCACCGGTCGCACGCCCTCTCCCCCAATTCACTGCACTGAGGCGCTGCAGCGGTACAGTGACGACCGCGGCGGCGGCAGTTCGTCGGTATTATACCCGCCGTCGAATGTATATAAAAGAAAAACCGTCTGCTCTAAAGATTTTTATGTTCGCATCCTATAACGAGCGGCGGCGTGGAGCAGGCGGAAAAAATATGGCCTGAAAGAGATAAAAATAGCACGCACCCTCCCCGCCCCGATCGACAAAGAAAACAAACCCCATGTGTCTTATTACGCATCTCCCCTGTGCGCGTACACCATCTCCCACGGGATGCCATTTTGTCGTCGGCGTCGTCGAACCTTCATCTTTTCTTTTCTCTCCTACACCATTCATTTCTCCTATTCCGTCGGAGATTTTTTTTTCGCTGAACACAACCACGTTTATATTATAGGTACCTATATCTATAGAACATGTAATATTATATATTCTGTTTAATGTACTGTTAGAAATTCTTGGTTTGTGTAAAATGTAAACTATAACCACCAATGATCATATTATAATAATATAATCCACCGTACGCATATATATATATATATATATATTATATATACTATGGAAAATTGAATCGTGTAATTTTTCGTTTGTCGTTTCTAGTTCAAATATAATAAAAGCATAAAAAAAACAAAATAAGTAAACATTAAAATGTACCTATGCATAGGTATACTGTATAAAAAAACCGACAGAGTCAATTTACTATTTTATGTGCTATATTATTACAATGTAGCGATATATATAAATAATATACGTTAGTGACAAATAGCTATAAGAGCCGATGCACATCTTCAGACTCGTAAAAACAACTTAATTTTATCACCATTTCATATTATATATTGATGCACGTCTTCAGCCTTGCAAAAACAACATAATTTTATTACTACTTCGGATTTATTACAATTCGTAGAAATATTTGATTATTAATAAAAAAAAGCTACGAATAGGAACCGCTTTCAACTAAATTTGACAATAACAACAACCACGTCGGTACCTTTCGGTCCACCTCCTAGTCAGTATCGTGTGTAACACTTTAGCCACTAAGATTCTGTATAAATACAGGAATTCGTCCATAGCAGAATCAAAATTAGTTATTTATCTCCCACACAAGTAGAACTTATCTGATCGTAGAGTCCGCGCACTCCACATAGCCGCCAGACTAAGTTCYTCCCATTATTTTAGTGCATAGATCACTAACTTCTCGGGCAGATACTTTTTGTTCTGCTGTCCTCAAATTTATATCATTTTATTTTGACAATTATAAACATTTAATGATAACTTTTTAACGTTGTGTAATTTGTAAACTCTGCAACCTTCTCCTTCGAAAAACCTGATCGTCGTCGAACGAAACATATATATATAGGACAATACCTATAAAAGTCGTCTGAGATTTTCGTAATACGCCCTTAAAATTATCAATCTAATGATTACCGCCGACAAATACAGTTGTCCCTCGGGCTGTATTCGTCTGCAATTCTATACATTAAAGGCGCGAGTAGGATATATATATATATATATATATAATGAAACGGTAAGCACATTGTCTCTGACGTCATTGTGTCATATTGTTCATTATGTCAATATAGTCATTGTAAATATGACAATATGACGTTAAACGCTGCAGTTACACGCAGCAGATTAATTAAATTTTATATCACTATTTAATTTCGCGTATTTAAATCGAATCGCTGCGCAGTAACAATATTAACAATTCACGCCCCGTTAAATGTCAATGCTCGAGTTGTATGTTATAAACTAAAACCCATATTGATCAATATACCTGCGTATATAAAATATAATATGCATATTTTATTATATTGTATTTGAATCGCGGACGTTACGTGTCAATTGTCATGTAAAAAGTGTGATTTCTGTTTTTCGTTTCAWCCGCGAGTCCTGCAGCACAACTGCCATGCAACGTGCCTAAAAATATTATGATAGCGCTATAATGTGCACAATGCACATCTTATCGACGCCCACCGAATTATGTACAGAGTGTGTAATTAGGACCATAATATTCACGCGTATATATATATATTTATACCTATGACGTAAATAAGTACACAATTAATATAAAATATAAATTATCGGGAAAACTCCTCTTATATACACTGTTTATYATATTATTTTACAACTGTGCATTCGATAAGTATTCGTCGGAAAACAAAGACACTATATTAAAAAGAAAAAAAAACATATTTCGCAGTGCATTTTATTCTGGCGATTCAGGTAGAGTGCACGTAAGGGATTCGGAAACAGGATGACTTCGTGGAATTATTCGTCTCCCGAGAAGACTGTTCGGGGGAAAACGCGTAAAACAAAACACACAAACATACACTATCTACGTAAATAAAATTGATAAAAATAACTGTATACAAAACGAAAAATAGTGGTGGCGACGACATTGCGGTGAGTACTATACGAGGGAAGTTTGCACGCGTATACACAACGCGTATAATAATAATGTTTATTCGCTATACATAACATCCATACTTATATTGATATTACCTACGTGTGTATATATATATATATATATATATATCATTTTAAATTATTATGTGCAGCGACTTGAGCGACTATAAAGTATAAGGTCGTCACATCGCGCGCACTGCAGRTATGCTGCACCAACGGCCCCTCGACACCGTTTGACTTTAAAAAAGCGCATACAATATAATATACACGTACATGAGTTTGTTCTCGCGTTTATTGATAAGTACCATACATGGCTATCATATTTATATATAGTATATGCATGCGATATACATGTCATGAGAAATTATAATGACTTTTATTTTTTCCGTTCGAATGTTGCGTTAACGTGTATTTCTCAGACGATAATTTCGTACCGTCTA